GACATTATCGGACATGCACTATGGAAGCCATTCTGAAGCAGCCAGGGGGGGGGGGATTCTGCATGAGCCAAATATCAGAGACAGGACCAATTGTCAAAATTTTGGTGTCGATCATTCGATTTCATCCTGGACACTACAGAAAATGGGCTAAAAGTGTTAAAAACCGGAATTCTCCTTTAAGCAGAGTGTGAAGTTGTGGAGAAACTGATAGAGGCATTTCTTGAAAGAAAAAGGTTCAAATTTATTTTATGTCCTTAGACGGAGAGATAGAGCTCTGCCTGGGGCAAGCCCAGCACACATATTTGTACTGTACAAATCCCAACATAGTCTCCCTTGGGACCATCCCACCTCTGCATAAAGAGCTTCTTCACACATGAACATTTGGAGCAAAACAACTTCAGTTCATCAAGGACATACATTTTACCATTAGCCAGATAAACACTCCGAACAGGTGTCTTCTGTTCATGGCATGAAGGAGGAGGAAAGGAGGAAACTTTAAACACGTATCTTTTATAACTCCTAGCCATCCTTTCACCCCAATTAGGCCGAGGAAAAATATGCTTCTACAAGAGCAACTTGTGAAAAAGCTCTTTCAACTGATCAATCGTCGGCACTAGGTTTATTACACCAGATCTGCGTGCTGCTAAAACTAGTATAATTTGTGATGCTACTTCACTAGTTCTCTTTTGTAAAAAACCTGGCTGATGGCATTAGCTAATTAGTAATGGAGAAAGGTCAGGGAGGCTTTGCTATGAACCAGTAATGATGAATGATTGGTGGACATGTGTTTTAGTTGGTTAACTCAAAAACCGCCAATCTGACTCAATCAGCCCAAATTATCTCCACCCGCCCAAAGCAATGTTTAGCCTCACAATCAAAATTTAAATCACCCAGTCTGGCAACACTGAGTTCTGGAATGTGACAATATATCACAGTTGAAGTCTTGTAAATGCATTTTTTTTTTTTTTAAATACTGTTATGTTACATATCATTGAATAATTTGAATAATGAATTCCAATCATCATATGATATAAGTATATATATCTAATGACTTACACTAAAATAATTTTTCTTTCAATTTGAAGAGTTTAGATTTTGGAGCTTAGAATTTTAAGAGCTGCCTGTTTGACCAGTAATACCAACAAACTGGTCCTGATTAAGTTATGTTAATTTTATTAGTGACCCATTCTAACTGTTGCAAATAAGTTGTTCAAAGAGATGGTTTACTAAAGAAACTACTGACTTGCTAAGTGAGAGAATAGGTGTCATCCATGTGGATGGACTCATGAATAAAGAGTAGCTCACTCAAAATCCATAAGTGTGTGGGCCAGCGTTTAGTTATTTCATTATCTTCCCTCCCTGAGATCAAATGGCAGCAATATGACTTTGAGTAAATACAACAAAGACATTTTTCGGTAAACTACATAGAATGGTCTTACATGTCATTGTTTCTGGGCTGCAATAAAAAAATAGTGCGAGTATACCCACTTCTCCAGGGACCACTATGCTAGTTTCCTGTATGAATTCCTCATATGTATAATGATATATATAATTATTTAGAAAAACCTTGCTCTAGTTTTTTTTTTCTGTTGTCGGTCTGATAAATGAAAAACAGATACATGCATTTTTTCTATTTTTTTAAGTTAGATATTAATCTGGACCTTGTTTGAAGGCTAACAAGTCAATTCACATTAAAGAAAAAGATATTAACAATCTGGGTCATGCCTTAAAAGGGCACACAAATGTGTCCAAAGGGAACACAGACACTGCAGTTTGCTTGATGCTTCAAAATTTTGCAAACATTTTATAGCTGTTATGAAGTAGCAGGTAAAGTTTACCTTACTTACTGTATATTAGAGATATGTGAGGCATCTCTGCATATTTAAACTGAGTGATTTTGGGCTCAGTTTGCATCTGTTTGTAAAACTGTGGGTTTATCTTATCCTGATGATTTACAAATTTACAGACAGTAAGTATAAAAATCCATTTTTTTGCTTTTTTGTGTGAGGTTTTAATTTCCATTTTATTGTTTTTTATTATTAGATTTTTATACAAGCAAATTCTGTTGATAAAAACAGAGTGCTTTTATTATTTTTAGTTTTGCTTATGTGTATCAGATATTTAAAACGTCTTCCAGTCTCAGTGTTAAATGTTCTTTAGAAATTAATGTTTCTCAATATTTGAGACATCAAACTTGCATTATAATGCCATTATCATTACATAATTCATCAGTCTTGGCTGCCATCGCTCCTCACCTCTGTTTCTATCTTTGTTTTTTGTATAACCTGCCCACTGTGGAAACATCCCTCAATCTCAGCAGTTCATGAGATGTTTTGACCCTCTTAAATAGAAATTAAAAAATCTTCATTCTTGCTTTTTAGTCCTGTTTTTAACTGGTTAACTTTGAGGGAAATATTTTCATCTGCTGCCACAGTGAAGAGAAAATCCAATAGTTATGCCTATTTAAAGTATAATTAACAAATAACAGAAATCCAACATGTATGATTAATAAATGTATACTTTGAAACATCATAAATCTTTGGTACCACTGAGGTTTACTTTTCCATAAACTTAATAACATAGTAAAGAGAAAATATATTTATTTATTTTATTTATAACAGGTTATATGGAAGAATAAAAAGAGAACAAACTGTTTTTATGTTTTTCTCTCTCTCTTTACCAACATATTATGATAATGAAGAGAAAGTGAAAATCCATGTTTTTGTTTTTCATTAAAGTCATTCAAACTGTCTATGAAAGAACCACTGACCAGAGTTATATAAAGTACAACTGCTTTCTATAAAACACTGAACCTTTGCTAAATTACAGCCTTATTAGAATGTTATAGAAATACTTTTTCCTAGATTCCTTTGCTTTGGGAGCATATTTACTGGCTGCAAAATACATCCCTTAAGAATCTTTAGAAAGATAAAATAGAAAATAGAAAAACAAAGATGACATGAAAATCATAGAGATATTTCAGACAAAATAAAACCTTTGGAAATGTAATGTGTCTTAAACATGTATGATCCAAGCAGTATTAAATCTAGGTGTAAAGGTTTAAATAGATGTTTATATAACAAGTCTTGAAATGTTTAGCACATTCTGATTTATTATTAACATTTTCTTTTTTTTTTCTTTTTTAATCACCCATTTTTTTGTTTTGTTTTTTATACAGAACATGAAAGCAAAGCCACTCTGACAGCGAATATAACAGAAATACCAGCAGGGGGCAGTGTGACGCTGACATGTTCTGTGGACAAACCTGCTGAATTAAAATATCAGCTTTTCAGACGGACCTCCTCCACAGATCAGACCAATGTAGATGAACAACCTGATGGACGTTTCAGAGTCTCAGAAGGAGGAATCTACACCTGCAGAGGATATGATAAAGACAGACACACCACAACTTCTCTGAGTAATGAAGTTGTTATTTATGCAACTGGTGAGTTTAGATGTTTAGTCAGATTTCTGAAATTCTTTAATTGTTTTTTTAATTCTTGTTAATGAACATTTCCCACTAAACCCACTGTGATCTAACATTCTAACTGGGCTCAGGCATATGCTTCTACATTTATATTGTTATTATTAATTAAGCTGTTAATAAAAACAGAATTGGTTTATATCACAATGGGATCGGTTTGTTTCAGAATTTTTAGATAGATTTTAGTTACAGAGTTTGTTTGATGAATGTATTCTTTGTTAAATGTTTATTGCATTCTGCCCTCTGTCTCTCTACTAGTCTTTGGTTATTGTATGAGTGTTTGCATTCATGGTTGTTTATCCAGTGTGTCTCTGATTTGCTCTGTGATAGAAAGGTGTCCTCGAATCACAATAAATACTGGAGATGAACGCTAGTTCTGGAGATATTCATGGAAAATCTGGATGCTCTGTAATACAGATGTTTTAATCTTTAAAATAAATCCCCATAGTAACAAAATCTAACAGATGGAAATATAATATTTAATTCATGAAGGTGATTTCCAATTCTGGCATAAATTTAATCCAGTCCTTGAGGTCTGGTGTCCTGCTCTTTTTAAACATGTTTCTGCTTTAACACACCTGAATGAAATAGATGAATTACCTCCTCAGGATGCAGAGAAAGGTCTGGTCCAAATGTCCCCACTACACCCTACGCCCCTATGTGAAATACTTGGTCAGATTGAAGTAATAGTTCTAGTGTGAAGGTAACAAAATGAAGAACTGGAACAGTGGGAACTAGGAATGACTTTCACTGCCTCCATCATCCTCTAAGGTTTCTCATGATTTAAAAGCAACAGCAATCTCTCCAGAACAGGCTCCTTGGTGTGGAAACCACACATATAGGAACATGACAGAGATTATTTAGACTTCGAAAAACGTTGTTTTTGTTTTGTTTGCACAGAGTGAATACAAAAAAACTGTATTGCACACAGCTTATGACAAGTAATGAGACTAAAAAAAATAATAACATTGCAATATAAAGTGCACCAGTTATAACAATGTACCAGCGCCACAGAAAAACATTTTTTTTTTTTTTATTAGAGGAGGAATGAGTGCTGGCAGTGCAAAATAATAATGGTGCAAAAACGACCTTAAAGTTCAGTTCTGCACATGTGTGATGTGAGTCCAGTTTAGCATTTACCAGTTCAACAGTCTTATTGCGTGGAAAAAGCTGTTCCATAACCTGCTGGCCCTGCAGCGGATGCCCCGGATGCTGAGAGCCTCTTCCCAGAGGGCAGCAGGGAGAACAGTCCATGGTGGGGGTGTGATGAGTCACTGATGATGTTACGGCTCGGGACGCGCAGCGCTGTGATGAAATGTCCTGAATGGAGGGAAGAGGAGCCCCAATGATCCTCTCCGCTGTCCTCACCACTGTCCTCATGTTCACCACACAGAGAGACAGCTGGTCAGAACGCTCCTTATAATGCTTCTGTAGAATGTTTTGAGGAATGGCGGTGGAAGGTGGGCTCTCATCATCCTCAGCAGGAAGTACAAGCACTTCTGTTCCCTCTTGACCCTCTTGAAGAATTTGGTGTTGCTGATCACCTCTAGAGCTTAGCTGTCAATGAGCAGCAGAGTGTGGTTAGACCGGTTCTTTCTGAAGTCAACAATGATCTCCTTCATCATCTAAATGTTCAGGATCAGGCTGTTGTCTCTGCACCAGCCCAACAGCTGCTCCACTTCCTCTCTGTAGTCCAGGTCGTCATTGTCTCTGATGAGGCGCATCACTAGGGTTGGGAATTGATAAGATTTAACAATTCTGATTCCCTTATCGATTCTGTGAAATGATTCGATTCCTTATTGATTCTCTTATCGATTCTGTGAAACAATGAACTTGGTAAGTGCACGGTGACATTCATCTACCTTTGCCTGGGACATTCTATTTCTGCCTGCCTCTGCAAAAACAGCAGGCAGTGAACTGAAGCTGCCAGCCTCTGAGCCAACCAGGCTACCCGTCTCCTCACAGTCATCTAAATCTAATGGAGAAGGCACCCGTTTAATGAAAAGGCATTACTGTACAATTTCAGGAAATAAACTCATCTCCCCCTGATTTAAATAAATAAATCACCTTTCTCTCCCTCCCTGAACTGTGGAGCAACTTCGTAGTATGTTTAATAACCCCAAAGAGAGGTAGGAAACTGGTTTATTTCCAGAAATGGGATATGATTTACCAGGAACCACATTAAGCACAGTGAGTGATATAAAACTAGCTACTTACCACCAGAGTTGCCTTCCATGCTGGTCATAAATTTAGCTTCTGTCCGAAATCATCAAAAATACGACATTCGTTAAAATGTATGCCATCTTATGTGCGCAGGTGTTTCTGCATGTTGAATTTATTTCCTTCCACAGATGTAATTGCCACTTTGCAATGATTGCAATGCGCCTTGTTGCTATCTTTCTCTTCCTTAAAATGAACCGAAACTTTTGATCGCTTTAAACGCTTTTGTTTTGTTTTTCTAGAATTATGCCTGGTCACGTCTTACTTGCTTATTGAATACCGTGTGCATAACTTGCGTAAAAAACGTGACTTAAGTTGTGCTGCCCAGAGCTGGGCTCTAGTGCTGCCTGGAATCATTAAGAGAATCATTAAGTGAGCTGCCAAACGGTGCCATGGAATTGGAACACACGGAACAGGTTCTGAACAGGAACCAGTATAGAATAGTGTCGTCTGCAAACTGCACAATGTGATTGGTGGGTTTCACTGCTGTAGTGCTGTTTAGTTCCTCAGTCCTCCCAAAAACATTATTTAATGTGTTTAGGAAGTCAGCATTAACTTCACCAACCAAGGGAAGGGTGTATTGTTGTCTTTAATTGCCCCTACGCCTAGCGATTTGCTCCTGGTGTTGCTGGCGTCGTGAAAAAGATTCCTGGATTTTCTGACTGTGTCTCCGCTTCGCTAACCTGATGGCACGGTTCAAGTTGGCTCTCTCTGTCCTCATTGCCTCTCTGTCCGTCTCTGTTAGGTAAAAAATAAAAAAATTGATATCTCCAGGTCTAAAGGTAGAGAAAACTTCTAACCTCACAGACATAACTGGTCAAAGTTATCTGTGACAGATGATGCTAGAAAACTTCCTACAATTCATGGGGTCAGATATCGAAGTGATTTAATTCATATTGTTAGTTTATATGTTGACAGGCTGGTAGAAACGATTATCTCTGTCCCAGACGTGACTGTTTACTGCTTTATATCTGTCTGTCTAACTTCTTCTGTTTTCTAGCTATAAAACATCTTCTTGCTTCTGGGATTTCAATAAATGTTCTTTTTTTTTCCATCATAAAGAAATAAATTAACTAAGGTGTTTTATTTATATATCACATCTGGATGATTGAAATTAAATTGTAATCCAGAACAACTAATTTTATTGAAGTTTATGTTTAGTATACATTTATATGATTTTTCTCTCTGATTATCATTCATTCCAGTCTCTAAGCCCACTGTGACCCTTCAACCCAACTGGCCTCAGATATTCAGAGGAGAGAAAGTCACTCTGAGATGTGAGATACATGGAAATAGAGGAGCTCAGTTGAAGTATGAATGGAAACCAGACAAACAAAACTCTCCTACATCCAGTGAATACAGGATCAACACAGCTACTGAATCCTACAGTGGAGAATATAGCTGCAGGGCTAGAAGAGACTACCAGATAACAGACTGGAGTGATGCCTTCAGACTCACAGTGGAAGGTGAGTCAGACTGAAAACGTTTAGTTTGTATTGTTTTCATGCAAAT